ATAGTGCTTTCTTCTATATTTCGATCTCGAAATCAAGCTCTTTTGACAATTTCTCTATTCGCTGCTGTTTCTTTAGTCAAGCACTGTCCATTTCGATTTCCCAATGAAACTCTTTGCTCTAGTTTTTATTTCAACGTTTGACTATTTTCAGACACCCAGGACTCACTTTACTAGTAAGCCAAGCTGATTTTGAAATCAGGCTTCTTTTGCAAAAATCTATTAGCGATTCTTATGAATCAGTATGCAATGTTAACTCAGTGCGTTGCGATACCAAATGGAATTTCCTGATTTGATTTCAGTGGAATGTGTAGAATGCAAGAATGCAGCAATTCGGTCTATGTATGTTGTTACCCGATTTCAGGCTGACGTGATTCACGACTCACATATTTGTACGGCTGGGTGATTGCTCTATTTGCGATTCTTCCAAATACGCGTTCAAATGCAATTGTCAACTAATGAACAGAGCACCCGAAGATGAGACTTTTGTGCTGTTGCTTTTGCCTTGTTTACGTTCAAGCAAACGGGAATCTTCTGTCAATGATCACTGGTTGTTGCAAACCACATCTCCATTTTCACACAGCATGCGACTTACCAGAGCTTCCTGTCTATAGATGTGTAAACAGCTGTACGGCTGAATGTATGCAGTGCGGTAACGGTAAGCAAATCTGCTATCAGTTTTAAAAAGTAGCGTGTTTTTGTGCACCTGTCATGCAGTGAATTCGAGATGATAGTCTGTGTCCTGTCATTCTGTAGCGAACAAATTTTTCGTTAGGATGTTAATCTGAGAGGCGATGATAAGTGGCCTGCTCGCCAAGAGGCAAATTAGCAATGCTCTATAATAATGCGCTATAAAAATTAAATTTTGTAATAGATTAATTCACGGTGTCTTACGTAGCTCTTCATTTAATCAGATTTAGAAAGGGGAAAAAGAAAATGAAATTGAGGTTTACTACAGAAAACTTTTAAGGACAACAGTTTAATAATTCCCACATAGATTCTGTGATTTGCTTCATCATTTGTTATAGTAAACTCTCATCTAAAGAAATTTCAGTCAGAATATGTGAACTGGTCATAATTCTGACAAGGAAAAGTTGTCGATGTAAGATTACTGCGTGACTGATTCTATCTTTAAATATTCTGCCAAAGCAAGAGAAAGATTGAGATATTTGATTCAAGCTCGAGAACCTAAGAGCTTGATGTTGAATATCCGCCGATAAAAATTTGTTACCGGGGTCTAGCTGACATTTTGTGTTATGAACGAGCTTGTTCACATCTTTCTAACCACATTTAACGTTGTCAAGTACAGGTCACAGTGAGTATTGTTCTTCAAGTTTGATATCTATTCTGTTGCTTATATAAAAAGTTTATTATTTAAGATACTGTAAAGTTCATTTAATTTTGAAAAGCTTATCAGAAATAGCTTTGCAGAAAAGTGCTTTCTGCGCTTGTCTGATGTTGCCATATCAAACGCCGGACCGTTCGAAAGAAGATCAAATATTAACTGCAGCGAATGCTTGGATTTCTGTAGAAGTAGCTACAGTGCTGTAGGGAGAAGTAAATGCTTAGCCGTCGTCTACAGCGCAGACCACAGCTACTGTGATTTGTACGCTGTCACAGGCACTCGGTCACCACAATGTTTGGTCCCGTGTAAAAGTAAGGTCTATTTCAGGTACGCTTCTGAGTTGTTACTTTAATTGAAGTTGCGATCGATTTTATTTCTCGAAGAGCCCATGAAGAATGCCTATCCAGGAAGAAGATCACGCCGAAGCCATTGCATCCTCTGATTCCCGTTATTCCTCGAGTTGGAGCATGTTATTCTCCACAGAAAACATACGTCGCTCAAATAAAAAACCATGACTTACCATCGTTCAGCGGTTACCTAATGAAAGCCGCTAATGTGGCAACCGTCAGCTATCTGAAAATAGCAATGCATTTTAGCGCAAAAAAATAATGACCTCAGAAAGTAACGCTGAATGTCGCAGCGCCCGATACTCTAGTGGATCTTGCTTCATCAGTCCCAAACGCATTGGAAATCTATCTTCCCTTGTGTCATCCTCAGGAACGACGTTGCTTTTGGTAGAATGCTTCGAAGGTTAGGTGCGACTGAGTTGCATTTAGTTACATTTTAACGGTTTCTAACTAGTGTTAACTTTTTTAACCATGTGGTAGGCAACTCCGCCGATCCCGTTCTCAAGCTCGTATGATAAATGAAGAGGATGGGGCCGTGGCGAGGTATGCCGTCAGGAACTCTTCTACCTGGCTCTGGTGGTATTGCCGCTATCGAACGCTATGCCATCCTGCTGACGCTGTTGGGGAACTGAGGCAGACTGCGATAAGTCGGCGTCCAGAACCTGCTCATCGCTTTTTAGCAATATGACGTTGCGTTCACTCACTCTCCTGTCGATGTTGTACACGGATGGTACAGTGAAGCTCAGTCAAGAGACAAAGCGATGAGTGTTCAGCATAGGGAGATAGAGGCGAGATGGTTGCTGTTTGCTGATGGCTTTGTTTCGTGAGCATGCATGTTCTGAAACTGATCTACAGCGCTCGCTGGAAAGATTCGCAGTCATATACGGCGTGATCAGGATACGGGTTAACGTGTCTAAAATCAGAAACATACTGCTTTCTCGTTTTCCGCCCCGCTTAGTAGCAAGTTGAGAAGTTCAGCTCGAGGCAGTGTTTACAGGTGATGGAAGATGAGAGGAAAAGATCGACCGGCGAAATGGAATGGCCAGCGGCGTTCTGTATGAACTAACCCGAACCGTTGTGACTCAAAGTCTTTAGACTCAGTTCTGTATTCAAGTCGATCTTGATCCCCATGCTCACTTATTGGTCATAAATTGTTGGCCGTGACCATTAAACTTCGATCTCCGGTACAAGCCAATGAAATGAGCTCTCTGAGACAAATCGCTGGGGTCACGATTGTCGACTTGACCCGGAGTTCAGAGATCAGTTTGAGATTTGTGTATGACTGCAGTTTCATTGCAGACACATTAAGATACCACAATTACAATGGTTTCGACACGTCATGCAAATGTTTCCAGAAAAAGGGCGAAACAGCAACTATCTGTTTAATTGACCTCAAGAATACACCAAAGTACATAGACCTGGGGCAAATGTCTCGTAGAAGTCGGACAGACTCAGACTTCAGACTCAGATTATTTTTTGCCTAATCTCAAACGCTGGCACATGATGAGGAACGTCATAGACATTGGCTGATGCCTCTGCCTCTCGCCCTGATCGAAACTGACTGATACGCTAACTGTCTGAAGCTGACTAACGATATATTCTACCTCAATAGTCTGATATTGATCATATACCTCCAATTGTTCCATTTCTTTCGAATATAAACACCCAAGATAAAACCTGCTGGAAGGCTCAGCAGGAACGAAATTAAATGAACGCATGCAAACTCATAGGCAAAAGTAAATTAAGTAATCTTGCAACTGTGGAAGCATGGCCCTAGCAGTTCGAACGCTTTAACTCATTGCTTGGCTGTGCTTTTAATGCGTCATGTTTCTTCTGTACGCTCTGGCAATAGAACTGCTTTTGTGCGAACGGTTGGCATGAGCACGTGAAACATCAGTAATCGGTATATATCTCAACTGAAAGTCTGAAAGTTCACTGCTTGAATGGACTCACTAAAGAACTCCATTTTTTAGCATGTGTAGAAGGACACAATTATCACAGTTAGTGGTTGCACACAGCGAATAAACAACAGTACTATGCTGCATTGAGCATAGTTAAGTAATGCTGCCTAACTGAGTTGTAGTCCCAGAGGAGGTACGCTGAGCCAGTAGATGATAGATTTCCTGCAGATCTCGATCCTGGCGTAGGTATTCACACATCTTGATGTACTGGATGTACTGCTTTACAAACACTGCGCAAGGCTATCATGCAGGGGATGGGCGCAGTTGCTACAAACGTCGTTTTCCATGCGAATTACAATGGATTCGGCAAGCATTATGATCACTTTTAGGCAGTCCGTTGAACCCTGAAACAAACTTAAAGATTTCTTTAAAGCTTTTTACAGTCGCAAGTCAATGACCCAGGAAAGACTACGGCTGTCCCGTCGGTGAAAATGGGGAAGAATGCATGTAAATGCGAAATTTTCACTTACTTCCCTAAGTGCATGCAAGTTCCTTAGCGTTTTAGCAGAGAGCGAGGCCCTGCAACACCAGATTGTCAATTCCTGAATGTGACGATGCCAGGTGAGTTCTACCTATAATGTGACTCCTAAGTACTTGAGGTACTACGCTTGGATCGTAAGTTTATAGCACTTTCCCAGGGTGTGTGATGGAAGGTTCAAGAGTGTTAGGATTTTGGTGTTGTACATCATGCAGATTACCTCATTGATCGTACCGCTGTTTAGACGTGGCTCATTAGAAAAAAAATTGTTCGAAAAATTACTTTTTCCGTCTTGATGGCTATCCCAATACTCAGATGACGCCAGAATGCTTACGACTGCAATATCGTCAGCATATTTCATATATTTATGGGAGCACTGTCAGTGCAATCATTGTGAGACTTTGCATGACGAGAGAATCCATTCAGCCAATTTTAAAAAACAGGCGACAATGGGGGGAAAGTAACTTGCCAACCATTGAATGTGCAGAGCTTTGCTCTGTTGCGACTTCAGTCGAAGGATTGACACTCCTTAGCCGACAGGCTTCCATTCACTTGCTGTCAATAAATTTGGGTTTTGTCAGAACACCAGTGCTTGCCTGTGTGCGCGGGACGTAGAAATAATACCTGAGCGAAATGACTTCCACCTGCAGAGGTTCAGATTTCCTTAGTCCTGGCTATTCGTTAACGAATCGAACTATATTCCGTTGTTTCCTTGCGGCGTCATCACGTAGTTCTGGTTCTTTTTTCTCTGAGTGATGAGATGTTCCAAATTTTGACCGTGAATTTCTAATGTCGATATGGTTCCAATGGAACCTGATCTTATGTGCCATAATATAATCGCCCTGTCTGCAAGCTCCGTTCGGAAGAGGGGGTAGCAATTTCACTGCCGATTGGTATCTTCATCATCTTCGCTTAAACAGTAGTCACTCACTGCTATGCTACTACGTCCTCAGCTGCCCGAAGACGTTAAGCAGTTTCTGATTCCCGACTTTTCGCCATCTGCGTCAGTTGCCCAACAGCCTGTGCTCTTGGCAACTCTGGTGACTATCGAGCCATTATGATGCTCGACAGCGTCAGCACCAGTACGTATAAGTAGTTGTTTCGACATAGACTTCTCACGGTCCCCATCCTTCTCTTTTCTCTCTGGGCTTGGGATCGGCAATGACCGAATTAGCTGTCAACACAAGAAAATTTGCGCCGCGTTTGGGGTTCGAACTTGACCTTGATATCACTAAGGCGCTAAGCACCTACTAACTATCTGCACCACTGCGTCCCTTCCGTTCATGTGTAATAAGACCATACATGAGAGTTCGTGTAACAATGCCATACAAAAGTCAGCATACTATCTTGTTTAAAGTTTTCATTATTATTTGACAAACAAACTGCATTAATAGGCTCAAACAAGCAAAATTAACAGAAAATATTTTCTACCCACTATCCAACTCGATTCATTCAAAAGCGTAACTGTGAGATAAGTCAAGGCATTGGATGCACACGTTTTCTCATAAACCTGTTATATATCGCAATGTGAGAATTGTTTAAAATTTCTACATTTTCGTTCAGCATCCAATACAAATACCTGTGCATCAGCCACTGAGTAAGTTTGCTTTGTCGATGGTTCAATTTCTCACCAGCGATACATCTTCCTTTCTGCACACTTCTTCACTGTCTAAAATATGCTGACACGACTATACAGCCATGTGCAAGCTCCACTGTCTTTCCTGTTTTTCTTGAAAAGAGCCATGGAATGCGCGAACTGAGTGATGAAAATTTCGGTTATTATTCTGCAGAATCGTTATAACGTTTAAATCCAGCTCACAGCTTTTCTGGCTAGCTACACGTATTTGTGACTAAACCCATATGATGTTTCAGTCAAATAATAACTTTGACCGTTCAGGAAAACGAATCTGTTCTCCCAAACTCGTCTACGCTCCTCGTCACATTTTGCTAGGAAACGCCAGAATGGTCGCTTCTGATTCTACACTGTCTGATTGCATCCAGCGCTGCTTGAAGACCACTGACTTCCCCTGTCTATCAGGAAATTATAACCAACAGGAAAATCATGAAAATCTTTAGATAACTCCCCATTCAGATTGCCACCATTTTAGGACGAGGAACAAACCTGCATTCTCAACTCAGAAACAAGCGACACGGAGTCACAGCTTTTCGTTTCGCAAGGTCACGGAAGCAATATATACTTCCAAATTGACTGTAGAAGAGGTGAGTGCAATATATGTTTTGGACCCCATTGTTAATCAAGTTAACAGGATCTTTCCTACATATACCGGAGGCAAGTAAGTGCAGTCATGTTAGTGCATTGCTCGACGACCCTATGATGGGAGAATGGGCAACTTGGAGCACTTGCTCGTCTGATACGCAGCTGCAACACAGATATAAGAGCTGTGGTAATTCGGACATTCGAAAATGTGCCGCGGAAAGCAAGTCTTGCCGAAGCACGTACATCAGAAATAATTTTTAAACAGGATTCATTCGTGATTGCTGCCGCACTCTGTTCATTTGTAACTCTGTCTAAGTGATCGAAGCAAGCGGCGAAATCACACCGAAAGAGCTTAACAGACAGTATATTGAAAAGTGAAAGTTTGGATAATAGTTGTTAATTCAGAAATACAGCGTTACCAGACGTTTCTTGATCGAAGCGATTTTGCTGTCTGATGTGGCTATTATCTCGTGTAATTGAGGACATTATTATTTATGCCCATTTTGACACAGAGTTGAACCACAACCAGTTGAATTATCATAATCTAAAGATATGATACATAAATGAATTTTTTTACCCCATCAAACAACATGTATTCGAAACCTGTTCCATGGAGTTACTATTCGATGTAGCACTCAACTCAATTTTGAAAATTGGTCATGTAACGAACGGCAAAAGAAACTGTGTAAAATCTACAGAATAGAATCTGCAACTTTCAACCAAAAATAGTGAAAAATACCGCCCTTTCCTCCAGCACACATATGACGTTCTCCACTTTTATCCATTTTAATCATAATCCCTTTATGCCGAAAATTTTGAAATGCAGCAATAATTCAAAAGCTGGATGTAGTTTCAGAAAGCTAGTTATTGTTGGCAAACTGCCTGTTATTCTGACCGGCGGTATTACAAACAAACTTTTGCCGTAAACCAAATTTAATGGTATTCGGAAAAGTATTTTTTACTTAAAGTTTAGAGCACCCAAGCCCGGACGAGAAAGGAGGAGGGTTGGAGACCGTGGCAAGTCTCCATTAAATTCAGCCACCTGCCGTTCATGGTATTGACGCCTTCGAAAATTACACCGGCTCGGTCGTCGCCCGGGTTGCCAAGGGCCGCGCAGGCTGTTGAGGGACTGACGCAGACTGCGAAAAGTCGGTGATCAGAACCTGCTCATTGCCCTCTAACAGCCGGGGGCGTGGTAGCAGAACGACGGATCACGAAGCCCGACGGAACAACGACGAAGATACAACGTCTCTACTCTGCAACGGAGTCTCTACCCGTTCTGAACAGAGGAGACAGACAGCGCGATACCATTATAGCACGTCAGAAAAGGCTCCACGAGGACGACACCAACAGTGGGAGATTATAGTCGGAAATTGTAACATATCCTCACTCAGAGGAAAAGAACAAGAATCAGCTGATGAGGCCACGAAGTACCAACTCGACATTGCTGGACTCTAGTCAACAAAACGTCCAGCCTCTGGACTCCTGAACCTCAATGGATGGAAGCTGTTCTACTCAGGCGTCGATATCACGACTCGCGCTCAG